TACCCCCTCTGAACGCTCACTTTCTCTCCGTTTCTCTATCTATTTTCCTTTCTCCTCTCGTACCCGCAATGACCTCTATTCTCCTGTCTCCTTTCCTCCCCTATGAGGATCGTCTGGTCTCCCTACCCACTCTGAACGCAATGGAAATTTAGGTCTTCGTTCGCATGCTTGGTCGTCGAACTCCTGCTCCCGTCTTTGCCCGAACATAATTGTCCCCTGATTATGAATGGATACAAGCTACCTTACGGGTCCGGTGCAATCAAAATGATGCTGCTTTGTGTTCTGGGAAAGACGGGTAGTTACGCTTTTGTTTTCTTTCTGCTTCGGGCCTTGTTTTCCATATCATTGTCTGGGTGCACATTCCGCGTTTACTTCCGCTTGCTCAATGAACCCGCGCCTTCCCGCTTCGTGCCTTGTTTTGCACGTCGTCGTCTGGGTGAACGTTCATCTTTTTGCTTTCTTTTGCCCCCCTCTCTCTGTTCATAACCTTTGGCATTGGGGAGGAGAATCTGGAGAAAAGAAATTAATTACGCCGAGGGTGTAGTAGAATCAACGTCCACGTCTCTCTCATCGTTGTAAGGGTTTCCGTACTTTTAACTTGTTTTCCTCTACTTGCTGTCTTCTGCCTCATTGCGCCCCCCTCTCTCCTAGTCTTTTTGGACGTTTCTTTCCCTCCTTTCTCACTGGAGGAGAATGCGGAGGAGAGAGATTTATCGCACCGAGCATTAGTAAATTCAAACCTGTTCACTTCTCTTTCGTCGTTATTAGGGTTTTCTTACTTTTACCTCCTTTTCCTCTTCCTGTCTTGCTCATTGCGCCTCTCTCTCTTCCGGTCTTCTGCCTCATTACGCCTGTCTCTCTTCCTGTCTTGCTCATTGCGCCTCACGCCTCACTCTCTCTTCCTGTCTTCTGCGTCATTACGCCTCGCTTCTGCCACATTACGCCTCAATCTCTCTTCCTGTCTTGCTCATTACGCCTCAATCTCTCTTCCTGTCTTGCTCATTGCGCCTCAGTCTCTCTTCCTGTCTTGCTCATTGCGCTCACTCTCTCTTACTGTCTTCTGCCTCGTTACGCCTCGCTCTCTGACGTTCGTCTTTGACGTTTCTTGCGCACCTTCCTCCTCATCGACTTCCTTTGTTCTTTGCTCTCTCTGCCACTGTGTATTCGCTTTTATCCAGCGTTTACTCTCACTTATGGCCCATTCTCTCCGCGTTTCCGGTCTTTGTACTTCTCTTCCCTCCTGCCATCCTCCCCTATATCCTGCTCCACTCCTGCCTATTGTCTCCTCACCACCGTCCTCTTCATATCGTCTCTCCGACGCACTTTCTTCCAGATGACCCCACCATGTCTGTCAATGCTTCGCTCTCCCTCGCTCTCTGTTCAGGTTGCGCCTCGTTCCACTGACTTCTATCTGCAACGACAGGCAAATGATACCGTTTGGCAATGACAGAACGAGCAGCAGGTACCATGTCGAAGGTGTTATTTGCTGTGATCGCTGTTTTGGCCATCGGCCAAAAGGTCACCCTCTGTATTAGTTGTGACATTTGTCAATAATTTCGATAGGCTTTTATCTCGAAAATAATTTGAGATCAATCAGTTCTCCTGAAAAAGTCCTTTGTCAGCGGATTGAGGAGCCGAACATTCTCTTCCCACGTTTTTTGTTGCCGTACCTACGCGTTGTTGTTAATTCACCGTCCGGCTACCTGGTTATCGTCTTCCCGCCAACTCCCTCTCCCGCTGTCAGTCAGTCCCCTTAATCGGTGTTTGAACTCTCAAACACTCGGTGTTTGAACTCTGTTTGTTTCCAATGCCAATAGAATGTTACCCATCCTATCGTATTTAACATCCAAAATACAGCTAGATAAAAAGCAAATTCAATTCTGAATTTTGGAATAAAAATAAGCAAATAAACTGTACCGATGAAGTTATCTCAGGAGATACTATCTCGGTGTTTGAACTCTTTTTCTTCTCGCTGGTAGTCATTTACTCTTGTGTCAATCTCTCGGCTTTTGCCTCGTGCTTTTTTTTTTTTTTTTTGCGTAGTTCTTTTTTTGAAAAGATGGCGGCTGCGAGATATTATCTTGAGCCGACCGACCCCATGTTAAGTAAGATTTGAAGTCGCTCAACTGCTTCCATCTCGATTCGAACGGATGGCTGTGGTTCAGCAGTGCATGGGTTTACCGCCTGACCAAGGAAGGCCCTTCTTTGCTCACGTTTTCAACCTGGATGGCGCTACTCTCGTGTCCGTCTCTGCTTTTTTTTTTTTTTTTTTGAAGATGGCGGCTTTTAGTTATCTTCTGAAGCCAACCAACCCCATGTTAACTACGAGCCTATCTCAACTGCTTCGATCTGGAGACGAGCTGTCGTCTGTAGTTCAGCAGTTCATGGGTATACCATACCTCCTGAGCTAGGTACCTCCCTCGCGTTGTCCACGAGGATAGCGCGCCCGCCCGGTTGCCAAAGTCTGCCCTCCCTCTTCCATTTCGAGAACGAGACGAGCGATTTTAACGGCAGGTCTGTGTGTGGTACCAATCTCCCTCTCTGATCGTTGTTCTCCATTATGCTATATATGATTCCGAGTGAAAGAGGTTTAAGCTGCTCAGTGGGTTAAGGCCCAGCCAACTTGAAGAAGCTCATGACTCACTCCTACTATGTCGGAAGCTGTCCTTCGGGACGTCCGTTGATATTGCAACGATACAGGGTCTCGCCGCACGGCACACGAAACGAAAACGAAACGAGTGCATCTGCCCACCAAAGGTGGCAGAATGCACTCACTATTTATAGCAA